TATTTGATTCATATTTTGACAATGATCAAAAGTATGTCCAGATTTTTAAGATGGAAAACTGAACATATCTGCGTTAAATCTTCCACAAATCCCATATTTAGACACAATTGCACTAATGTTTATCACTTTCTATCTGTAATTTCGAACTGAAACATAATTATTTAATATTAAGTAGAGGAATAAATGTTTTCCCAATATGGCGGGTGGTTGTGTACAATCATGGCATCGTCCATGTTGTCTTTAGGTTATTAGAATATTTTGGTATGACCTGCAGGTGTTATACAACAATTTGACAAATGTCTGAAATTTTTTTTTTTTATATCGAAACAGCCGCGCAGGCAGAAGCCTAAATGCCGGAACACCGCGGCTGCTGTGATGATCCCAAAGAAATTTTGTTAATACGATTTTTGAACTGCCTAAGGTTAGTAGAACTGGGAAAAGCTTCCTCCCGTAGATTGTTCCACAATCTAGACACCCTCGGGATAAAGGAGCGGTCGTATCGGCCAGTTCTGGATGTACGAAGTTTGACACGGTTAGGATGGGACGCCGAAGTCAGGCGAGTCTGTCTGGCAGGCACATCGCGCGGCGGCATCATGGAAGAGAGCTCTGAGGAGCAAAGCCCGTTGGTGTAGCGATAGAAAAGAGCTAGATCGCCGACGGCCCGCCGGTGCGAAAGAGTCCCGAGACTGTCTGTTAGGGAAGAGTCATCGATCAGTCGGACCGCCCTCCTCTGGACAGCATCGAGCATGGACAATGTAGTCGGGGCGGCAGCACCCCAAATGTGTGAGCAATACTCGAGGCTAGGCCTTATCTGGGCCTTGTATAGAGTGAGAAGGTCATGCGGAGAAAAGTACTTCTTAGCCCTAAACAAATAGCCTAGCTTTTTCCCAGCAGCTGCAGCTATTGAAGAGATGTGTTCGTGCCAGATCAGGTCCTCGGTGATCTGGACTCCGACCAGCCGAAATGAATGGCTCTTTGGTAGAACTCGACCCTCCATCGAAACTGTATGAGCGCTAGGACGCTTTTTGTTCATCAAAGTACAGTACTGTGTTTTGGAAGCATTGAACTGTACAAGATTGTTGCGTCCCCAAGCAGTGATAGCCTCCAGGTCTCTTGTCAGAGAAGAAGTCGTCGCTAGTCTTCTTTTTTCCAGCTCTGCGGCAGAGATCGGCTTGTCACTCTGAATTCCTGCATGTAGAGTGCTGTCATCAGCGAAGCTGTGGACTGGGTTGATCGTGCAGGAAAGGAGGTCGTTGATATGTAAGAGAAACAGTGTCGGAGCCAAGACCGATCCCTGGGGAACACCCGCGTTGACGTTGTGGGATGAAGAGGAGAATCCGTCAATTACGACGGATATCTTGCGGTCAGAGATAAAGTCAGCCACCCATCTGCAAAGCTTTTCTGGGAGGCCGTAGGATGGAAGTTTGCTTAAGAGGGCAGCGTGCCACAGCTGATCGAATGCTTTCGTGATGTCAAGAGCAACGACATGAGCCTCACCATGAGACTGGATGAGTTTACTCCACAGTTGCGTGACGTAAGCTAGGAGGTCCCCTGTGGATCGTTGGTGCCGGAAACCGTACTTCCTGTCGCTAATCAAGCTGTGACGTTCGAGGTAGTCCAGAAGCTCGCGATTTATGCACCTCTCCATCACTTTACTTATAACAGAAAGCAGAGCTATAGGCCTGTAGTTGTAAGGGTCGGTTTTAGATCCTTTTTTTGGGATGGGCTGTACATGAGCAAATTTCCAGTTTTCTGGGAAGGTGCCGGATTCATAAGATATCTGGAAGAGACGCGAAAGAACTGGAGCAAGCTCCGCTGCACATCTCTTCAGTACAATGGCAGGAATCAAGTCCGGACCAGAAGCTTTATTGATGTCGAGCGACAAGAGCACTCGTCTTACGGTCTTATGCCTGAATGTTACCTCCCGCATAGTGTGGGGAACCCTTTGAATTGACGGCACTTGGGCGTTGGTGGGGACGTCCATGGTGGAGTTGGCAGCAAAGATCTTGGCTAGCATTTCCGCCTTGGCCTTTGAGTCGAATACAATGGTTCCATCCTGACACGTAAGTGGTGGAAGGCTACTGTGTGAGAAGTTCTTTTCAATCTGCTTGGCCAGCGTCCAGAAAGACCGACTGCCATTGCGCTGCGACATTACCCTGTGCCTAACTTTTATATCATGCTGGTTTTTGGCATTGCGAACCGCTTCGTTATATTTGTTTCTGGACTCGACGTCGGCTTGTCTGTTCTCTACAGTGGGGTTTTGTAAGTAGGTTCTGTGGGCCTTGGTCTTCTGCTGGCGAGCAGTGTCACACGATTTGTTGAACCAGCCGTTGGACCCTGGTTTAGGAACTTTCACTGTGTGAGGGATGTATTCCTCCATTCCGACGTGGATAATTTCGGTTATTGAAGAACAGACAGTCGACGCATCCGCGTCAGTGAAACAGACATCTCTCCAAGGAAAGCTAGAGAAGAAGTCTCTGAGCCCCTCCCAGTCGGCATGTCCGTAATGCCAAGTTTTGCGGCCTGTGCGAGTTTCTGCTACCACAGCGGCTTCTGACCGAAATCTAACCTCCACAACACCGTGATCTGAGTTACCCAGGGGGGACAGGACAGCAGTGCTGTAAGGGTCAGGATGCGTGGTCAGAAAGAGATCCAGCAGGCTACTGGCGTGTGACGAGACGCGGGGGAAAAAAGTAGGGCTCGTCACCAGCTGGGTCAGCCCTTGAGTAAGAGCGAACGCTTCGACTGCACGACCTGCTGCATCGGTCTTATTTGAGCCCAACCAAAGCTCATTATGGGCATTGAAATCACCGAGAAGAGCTACCTCTGAAGCGGGGTGATTGATGTTCAGGAAGTCGATCTGGACGGCGAGGTATTCGAGTAGGTCATCCCAGTTATGGTTCGATGGAGAGCGATAAAGGCAGCAAATAAATTTGGGTGATGTTTTGGAGTTGAGGCGAAGCCACAGAATGTCCTTCCGGTCTGATTCCAAAGAAAGATCCCTGGAGCAGGAAAGACTGCTGCGGACAAAAGCCACAACTCCCCCGTTCTTTCTCAGATTGGAGTGCACCTCGTAGTTTGGGAAATTGAGATGGTTAATCGGTGCAGTCTCTGAAATTTTTGTGGAGTGTGGAGTGGAGTGAGTTTACGTCCGGAGTTTTTAGTGCTCGAAGGATCCATCATCATTAACTTCTTTGTTTTGGTAGATAACCGACTGCATAGCTTAGGTGTGGAAACATGCGGACATTTATAAGACACCCTGGGAAAAGCTAGCGGGTGGTACTGCCTCGGTCGACTGGTCCTTGTCTACCACCTTCTTTTTACGTGCTAGTGATGTTAAATAGACCTAAAGTGGCCCGTTTGCGGACTTGTACCGCCACCCGGCAATCGGTACTGAGGTATTCCTTAACGCGTGCACAATCACTTGGACGGGAAGAAGTTGTATACTGGATACAACGACTTCCAGAACAAGCATTTGCCACGGCCCTCGCTCAGTAGGGGGGGGCCATTATGAAATGAAATACCGACAGAGTCGGATGATTTACCCAGAATTTGTACCAGATCTATATCTTCTGTTTGAACAGTTGATAAAACCTTTTGAACCGATATGCATGCATTGTTTGTCTTAAAATATCGGTTATGGCATTTTAACAAAAATATGACAGCAGAAAGATAGGTTATCGTGAAGTTGCTTACCAACATATTTAGCATATATAACAGTTGTATAAGTGCTTCCGTTGGGAGCTATTTGTTGGCTAATGTAGTAAATTGCGCAGCAAAGCAACAAGGCTCGGGTTTGTTTTATAAACGTTAGCATGAGTGCCACAACACAACCATTTTGACTAACTTGCAAATATGTCGTATAAAATAGTTGTATAAACGTATATGCAACAGTTAAAAATTTGCCCTATAAGGTGTTGTATAACTATGCTATAAGAATATTTTAAACACCTCATTTTAGAGCAAATATGTTGCAGAAAGCAAATTTGCATTCCTCACAACATTACGCCAGCATTTTGGGGTTCAGGCAACAACAATAGAGAGCTTTTATGGCTGAACGGTTCTAATACCAAAAGCTTATACCACTACTTTGCTAGTTGGGAAATCTCCAATTTAGATTCAAATAATTTTTGACCGACATAATGCTCAAATCTACTTGAATGAGTGGCATGGATATGCGTAATGGGAACAACAAATATCGGTTAAAACGTGGAATGCAAAAATCTTCTCAATCGAGATACCTCCGTCGCTTACTCGTAAAATGTATAAGGTGAATGAGTAACATGCACCTTTGGAATGAAAAAAATGACACTAGGAAAAACTGGAAATAGATTATTTTTCTTTCATTTCCGTTGGAACCATGATTCTTTGCGATTAGCCATTGATTTCCATGGCGGGAGTTCATAAAAAACTTCCTGATTGGTTTATAATAGTCACGTGGTTACAACTTATCAACAATCACGTAACCACGTGGATTTGTATATAAGCATGTACTTGTTCAGAATCTCTTAAAGTAAAAACAAGAGTTTATGTTGCTTTGAAGGACATCCAAATACCAGGCTTTTTCAACCAGATCCTCCTAGTGAGATACGTTAGGCTACGGTCAGACTTCATCCGTGTTTGACCGATTTTTACACTGGCGTATACGGCCGATAACGCCAGAAAAAAACAAATGCGGCAAACTTAATTGGAGATGGTCACAGTTGCGCCGTCCAGCACTGACGTGCATGGACTTGTTCGGCCGACTGACGGTGGAAAACAAATTATTTTGTTTTTTCCGGACGTATACGCCAGTATTTGTGTTGCAGTCTTCAAGTTTATACAGTAATCACGAAATATGGTAGACATAGAAAAATTGATTTCCTTGGTTTATGACCGAAAACCATTGTGAGATGTGGGCAGTAAAAGCTACCACAATAGGGAAGTAGGAAGAAAGCTTTGACGGGAAATAGCAGAGGAATTGAACAGCACAAGTAAGTATTTTATTGATTTCATTTATTTTAGTGAACATATGCGCCTGTTTCATTGTCCTGGAAATCTGTCGCCCCTACTGTGTTTAAATATGTTTTAAATTGGTCGCGAATGCAGTAAGCATCTCTTCCTGCTCTATTGAAGCATCTTGGTCCCCTGCTTGTCGATCTTGCAATTTTTGCAGTATTGGCTGAGTTGATTTTTTGCAATGTACCTTCATTGATTCCCTCTATAGCTATGCCAATGTTGTGCAATAAGTAAATAGTCATGACCAATTTGTCAACATGATGAGGTTCAACTTGTAACTCTGTCTTTAAGCATCTCCATTTTGAAACAAGTATGCCAAATACACATTCTACAGTTCGTCTGGCTCGACTAAGCCTATAGTTATAAATTTCAATTTCACGGGGAAGCTCCTCCTGTCCTGTTGGATAAGAGCGCATTAAATACTCTTTTAGAGGATATCCTTGGTCACCAAGTATGACGTAAGGTAGCGTCATGGTAGTTCCGGTTATCTGTCTTGGTTGTGGGAAAGGAAAAGATCCTGTTTCTATCTGTTGGAACAGATTAGGTTCTGAAAACACACTACTGTCACCTTGCCTACCATAGGCTCCCACATCCACAATTAGAAATTTATATTGCGCATCAACCATTGCTTGAAGGACCACAGAGAAGAATCCGTTATAATTGAAGTGTTTCGAGCCAGTTTTTTTCGGGCATTTAATGCGCACATGTTTGCCATCGATACAGGCAACACAGTTTGGGAAGTGCCATAACTGCTCATAGTTCTTTGCACTCTTTTCAAGCAATTCTGCTGTAGGAAAAGGCATATGTTTCTCACTGAAACACTCCCTGGCATCACAGGTCTCATAAATTATTCCTGCAATAGTGTTGTGTGCAATCCGATAGGAAAAAGCCAAAGATCTAAAACCCATCCCCGTAGATAGAAATCTGTAAAGAAAACAAATTTCGTAAATACAAGGTTCACTCCAAATGAAAGTTATGAATTTTACGGGGTAGTCTTTTATTTCAGGTGAAGTGACCAAAGGGAAATGCCAAAACTTGAGAGATAACTTTCGCAGAGAACATGCAAAAATTTCGAAGGCGCCTAAAGGTAGTGCAGCTCTCGGTGATACTCGAATCTCTTCGTGGAAATCGGCGCGTTTTCTTCCCGAAGAATGAAGACAATTATCGCTTTCGTGTTAAGCCAAACTTCAGAGCTAGCTGATATCCTAAATGAGGAAGAAGAAGAAGAAGAAGACGTAGCAAGGGCATCTAACAACACCATTGATCCTAATTGTGCGATCAGTAACAGTACTGTTGAAACACAAGAATCAGAAACCCTCGTAGATACTGTTCAAACAGGCCCGTTTCGTGGTCCCAGTGCAAAGTCGTTCAAAAAATCTCTCATGGATACAAAACGAAAAATTACTAGCCCGGATGCCATAGCAAAACTTGTTTTACTGGAGCAGCGAGAGGTTGCGCAACTGGAGAAGAGGTATTAACGTAGCAATACATCTGAAGATTTGATTAAGGATGACGACTACCATTTCCTTATGAGTCTACTACCACATCTTCGTGATATCCTCCCCCAAAAAAAAAGAAGCTGGCAACCAGAATGCGCCTACAGCAAGTTTTGATGAATGAGGCGGAGGCAGAAGAGGAACGTCCCAATTCAGTTAATTCATTATATTCTTACAATTGTTGCCCACAATATTCAAATCCATCACCAAACGAACGTCCCAATTCAGCTACTTCATCGTATTCTTACAATTACAGCCCAGAGTGTTCAACTCCATCACCAAACGCAGCACAAACCAAACCAAATTCTCTAGCCACATATGTAGAAACCTTCAGTCCAGAGTGTCACACTGTGTGACTGAATTTCCTTATATTGTGTAATAGTTGAATTTGACTTGTTGAGTTTTTGACATAATAATTAGAGTTACCTATAGTTTATAGTTAAAAAATACAAATGTTTGTACTTACCTTAATGTTACCGATAGTCGTTCTTCCGGAGAAATACATTTTCTAAAATTACTTTGTTTTTCTATGTACGGCCTAATTTCATCTAGTATGTACCAGAACGTGTCAACTTGCATTCTGAAGTATTCGAAACATTTATTTTCTTGCTCCAGAAGCCTTGGAAATAACGTGTGAAACTCGCCATGCTCTTCTCTCTCTTGAAAAATGGAATTCACCCATTCACTTTTCTCGCCATCTAAGAATAGTATATGTGATAATGGGGTTTTAAACAACAGTAGTTCGTCGTCGTCCATTTTTGATTGGAAACTGAGAAGATCGGCCGAAACACGTGCAGTATGACCACAAGTTTCTCAGAGTAGCTCGGCCGATAGGGTCGTCCGCGTACGCCAGTGTAAAAATCAGTCAAACACGGATGCAGTCTGACCGTAGCCTTACGGTTAGGTAATTACTCGCTTCATTCTTCCGCTCATCTCGCTAGATATTCGTAGCGGATGGATAGTATTTCATTTTAGTCACGTAGCGCTGTTCTCGCTAGCAACTTAGTAAAAAGTGTCGGATCGTTATGCAACCGTTCCTGATCCGTAATGATCAACGCGAACTGCTCGTCTGCTTCTTTCCGGTACAAGTGGATTTAAAAAAAATCGTACAACATAATTAGTCCGGATGGTGTTTGTAAGAGATATCGTAGTTTGGGTTCATAGAAAATTGAAAATTAAATTATCCTTCCATCCTTCTCGAAGTATTTCGACAAGTTAAACTTTCAGAGTTAACGGGAGTGATATTGATATAGTGAATTAAGTGGATCGTTATACAAAACACCGAAGTTTGCCTGATACTTGACAGACTTAGTTATCAAACACTATCGAGGAACAAAATATTTGGTAGAGAATGAGTGATACATCACACATCGTTCACCTGTCCCAGTTAGTTCTACTGATTCTACCTCCTGACTATAAATTAGAGATTACAGATGCTCTTAATAACCGGCAGATGATAGAAGAACGCATTGATATGACAAAAGCATTTTAGGAGAACAATCTGAGAAAAAAGGTCATGGTTTTGTATGCTATGATATGTTAAACATATATAATATGTGTGTAAAATCACCGGGATTGAAGGCGTGAAACATCAAAAAATTGAGATATGCCCTCGCCCAGCCCTAAATAATAATGTTTATTGGAATAACGTAGATACACAAAATCGTTATCTTAGAATAAATATACAGTAACCATAGACGTCTGAACTTGTGCTGTGCTTGGGTTCACATGAGAATAAAAAAAACACAAATAAAAATACAAACGTTAAATAATGTAGGTATTATAATGTAGTTAAGTAGATAAAAATTATATTTTTCTAGGTATAAGATTTTTGTTTTTAGTATATTTCTCCTTTAATGCGGTTCAAACTTAAATACACTCATGATATACATAAACTGCTTCATGTTTAATAATTATTTTTATTGTCTAAAGGTTTATGGATCGAGTTCCTTGATTCCTCTATAATACATGATTTGATGTGTTTTCTTAAATTTTTTGATGTTTCAATAATCTTTGTTGATGCCGGAAAAATTGGCATAAAGGAGAGGAGACATTTGACTGATGGATTTTGTATGTTTTCGCACAGATACTGAATTTTGTTTAAGCCTCGTTTGATAGTGATAATTGATAGGATTTAGAAGCATCTTATTTTTAAGGTGCATCAATCCATTGTAAAAGTGAATTTGTCTAACGTCTGGGAGCTGAACTTCTGAAGATTGTCCATTTGATATGTAATCTCCTTATGAAGGATCAGTTGTAGTATCTATTTCTTTGCGAGTTTCTTTTACAGTCATTGTCCATGAGTCCTCACCATGCTAGTATACCATACGATAGAGAGAATATATACATATATAGATAGTCTTTATTAAAAAAATCACAAATATAAATGAGCTTCGGAGTAGTCTTTTCACTAGGACCTCTGTGTGTGCATTCCACTTTTTGTCTAATATTAAGTAGATCGGCCGCTGGATGGAGTTGAGTATACAAAATATGAGGACCGCATTCTGTGAATAGTTTTAAGCTCGAAAAAGGTTGTAGAACATCATTCTGGATGTTGCCAGGAGAATAGTTGGTCCATTTTTCGTAATACCCCACCCGCTTACATATCAAGTAAATCGACTGAACAAGTGCTTTGAAACCATTTCAATGCTTGTTTTAGTGATAATATCCAATTGTTAAAGCTACTTATAGTTAGTCAATTAAAAAAAATAAAAACAAGATTTTTTTTATAACAAACATGTCATCAAAAAAAATACTAATCAATTTGTTTTTTATTTTTACAGTCATTATTACATTACATTAACGGAATACAATTGAGTTTTGATTTTTCGCATGAACAAGCCTTTGTCTGATAACTAGATGTACATTTGCAGCCGAATAAGGTGTAATCAATAGGTTGTAGTAATGTTTAGTCAGCATTTATCCATATACAAATATATATATATAGTATATATATATATACAGGTATATGAGCAGTAGTCATTGCCATTTCCAGTTGAGTCATTAATTTTCAGATAATGATTGTAGAAGGAAGATAAACCAAAATATGTGTGTAAAAATAAAAAAAAAATTTTACCTTGCTTTATAAAGTATCCTCCCGACAAGTATTTCAGTGCGGACCTGTATTTGATCGTGAGGTCTTGGAGCACCGGCATGCCGTCCCCTGTGAGGTCTTAAGTCACCTGATTCACGAGCCCGTTGTACTACATTAACAAAGGCACGAGGGGTTGGTTGCACTCGATTGGGAAACCGATCCGCATAAACATGTGCCATTTTTTATTTCGTTTGAGCCACGCAACAGACACCACTATTCACTCACGCGTTACCGACTGACACTGACTGTATACAACTGAATAAAATAATTGTAAAAACATCGTTCCAAATTCTTTCGCTTTTTTGTTTCCGATGCGATGAACCGATAAGGCGGATTATATCCGTTGTTGCCAAACACGAGCACATAATATTATTATTGAGACAGGGCGGTACTCAAACTTCCAAAGGGCTATAACTTTGTTAATTTAGTTTTACCAGAAAAATGGTCAAGGAAAAAATATTTCTTTTGATCAGATCTACTCACTGTTAAAATAAATGACTCAACTTCGAAGTCACCCTGTATATATATATATATATATATAAATATGTATAAGCTCTTAACAAACGTAAATGTAGAGCATCTGATGTGTAAATTACTTTTGATAAATTTAAGCCGAAGGCGATATTTTGACAAATTAATATATACTCAAGTTCACCAGTAGTTATTTTTTTTTTTGAGAAAAGATAGGTGTAAATGGTTTCTAATTCTGTTAACTGTTCGATTGTTAGGTATGGATTTTCTAAATGCCTCAGAACATTTTGTACAAAATCCAGCGATGCTGCTTTTAAAATATTTTTTTCTCGAGCCCAATCTGCAAGTCGAATCGCAACCACTTAGAGAATGTAATGCTGGTAAAATTCGATTTGTTTTCACCAAGGAATTCGGCAGCCAAATGACCCTGAAATATATTTGTTCTTATAGAACCTTCAAACCATCGACCTATACAATCTAGGCGTGCTAGATTATTCCAAAAGTAAATTCCGAGGATAAAAACATCTGTATCAGCGCTACGAATTATGATATGGACAGACTGGTTTTTTACTGCATAAAAAAAGGTGACAAATCCTTGAATCGGCTTCAAAATGGTTAGAATTTAACTCAGGAACTTCAAAAAATAAAGAGTTTTGTAATTTAAAACTATTCCTACACAAACACATAACTCGCAACCTTCTTTTACTTGTGTAGATCTAGGAGCAGCAGTATTGAGATATAGAACGAGCTGTAACTTACTTTCAGTGCTTGCAAACAAATTATTATAATTAGATGGAATTTAAGTGTGATCATTTGAAATTATGAAATTTTTAATATTTTTACCTTTACTCCGTAAAGTGGATTCCAAATATTTTATCGAAATATTATCATATTTGTCGAATACAATATCTACTCGATTTACATTTGGCTGCAAGAATAAATTATTGATTTTATTGTAGAATGCAGAATCACCAAAAGTGTTGGTATTTACTAATTGGATTCGATAGACACGTGCCATTCCATCAACAGTATACATTTTTGGAGTATGTAAATTTAAAACGTCCTGCCGTGTGTTTGTACCACATTTATAATTATTTTCAATTTCCAGAGCAATTTCCGAATTTTGGAGATTTTCTGTAAAATCCTTCAGCGCCAAAAGGGGCTTGCAGTACTCCAAGATTTCATAGGAAGCTAAAAGTTTTGTGTCAAATCATCGTTGATTAGCAACCTTAAGTGTTTCTTGAAAAATACTGATATCTGTTGCATCTTGCAACTTTTTATTGGAAGCATTTTTACTTCCTCTATCAGAAGCAATTACAAAGTTGTTAAATTTACTTTTTTCTTATTGGATGGATAGCTTTTTATTCTTCTGTACAAATCACTCCTTTTCATACGTTCTCAGCATAGCTTCTCCATTTTCTACAATATTTGATAAATACTGCCAAGGAGACCCATCAGCAAGTTGACCGGTGTAAATATTTCGAAGCGCGCGGTTTTCTTTTCATTGAAGGGGATTACAAGCATTGAAGTACGTTACGGTATTTTGAATATCTTTGATTACGGAAAAATGAACCGTTACGCACCAAGAAATATTGTCTACTGACTATTATGAGCGCTATGACGTGTCGACGCGCGGAAAGGGATGAAGGGCAGGGAAAAAGGAAAGGGACCACCACAGCTGCCGGTAACATGTTTTTCCTTTTTCTGTGGGGCAAAAAATCTGAACATAGTTGCCGGTCCTCACATTTTGCATTCTCAATGGCGCCTGCACTAAAGCCTATGTATTTAATTTTTTTGACTAACTGGATTTCTTTATGGCCATTTTATTTGAAATTTGAGTTTACTGTAATTTGAAGATAGTCTTTCATCACAAGCGAAGTACGTTTTTGTAATTTATAGCCATAGTACTTTAAAAAAAGAAAATTGCAACTTTTGTGAAATCATTTTCAATTTCAGTTTTTGAGTTGTACCAATCATTACTTGAATAGATGACTGTTGTGTCGTCAGCGAAACCGATAACGCCACCAACAGTATCTAAATTAAACAGTGTACCTTGGGGTACCCCATAAGTCATTACCTGTTGTTCACTTAAAGCACTGTTTACTTCAAGACGCTGATTGCTATTTGATATATAATTTACCATGAGCTTATGTGTGGTACCTTGGAATCCTAAGTTTTCTAGAGTGACCAA